AATAATAATAAATTTTTAAAAAAGAAAGTGAGGCCCATAGAATTTGCATTCCCCAAATCATAGAAGTGTTGAAATAGGGATTTGAAACCAGAGCGATCTGACCCCAAATACTGTTCTTCTTTCACTTTGTGGGCAAATGTCTTATCATTCCTCTGTATGCAGGTCAGAGCTCTCTCAGAGGTGCCCTGAAGCCCACTGTGACTATAGAAAGCTAAAGGCACATTCCAGCCTATCTATATTCAGAGGGAGGATTGAAGGGCACTCCTGGAATCCAGAGACACCAAAGAGACCCCAGGAACTTACATAAAGCAGTCTTGGAAATATTATGCTTTTGTAAGTGGCATTTCACTTTAATCCTTATCACCCAAATCCCAAAACCATGTATAACAATTGGCACATTTATTGTTCTGAGAACACCTGCAGAGCATTTCCTAAAGCCTTCCCTAAATTTTGACTTCCAGACAGTTCAAGAAAGATGCATTGTATTGTGTACAACAGTGTGCTGTGGGAGTACAAGGATGCATAATTATAGCTCAGTTAGGAAAACCGAGCACCATGCAGACCTTAAAGACCATGCTGCAGGAGAAGGGTATGAGGGAATGTGCTCCTGATACATTACTGTGGAGAAATAAGATCACAAAGCAACACATACTATGTGATCAGAAGGGAAAAGAGAAGAAAGGAGCCAAGAGGGGAAGGTATCTGCTGTTCTGAGCTGTCAAGTGTAACTCATAGTGACCCTATAAACAACAGATCTGAACCCTGTCCTAACCTGTGCCATTCTCATCATCTCTGACACACTTGAGCTCATTGTAGCAGTTCCTGTGTCAATCTATCTCTCTGAGGGCCTTCCCCTCCTTCGCTGTGCCTTCACCTTTCTGGACAGGATGTCACTTTCCAAAGAAAAGCCTCCCCTAGCCACACTTTCCCCAAGACATGTTTATTTGGTCTTTTGGCAGTGTATGGATATTCAGTACTACTTTCCAACGCCACAGGTCAAATAAATCAAGTCTTCTGTCATCCTTATTCATTGTCCAACTCTCAGAAGCGTAACAAGTGATTGAAGAGACCATGGCCTGAACCAGGCACACATTAGTCTTCAAACTAACATAAAAAAAAGAGATCCCTGACAGTGGACTTGTCCAATGCGATACATCACCTGATTTCCTGACTGCTGCTACCAAAGGTATTGATTGTGGATGCCAGGGCAATGAAATCATTGACAACTTCAATCCCCCGCCCCCATCTATCATAATGTTTCTTATCAATGCAGTTGGTGAAATTTTTTGTCTTCTTGATGTTGAGATGCACTCCATATTGAAGGCTATAGTCTTTGATCTTCTACAGCAAGCGTTTCAAGTCCTCCTCACTTTCAGCAAGCAAAGTTGTGTTGAGGTGTCTTCTTCCAATTCCAATGCCACATTCTTTTTCATAGGGTCTAGCATTTTAGATGATTTTTCTCAGTGTACAGTTTGAATAGGTATAGAGAAAGAATGCAACCCTGTTGTGCACTTTTCCTGATTTTACCCCATGTGGTGTTCCCTTTTTCTGTTCAGACAACAGCTTCTTGGTCTAGGTAAAGCTTTCATATGAGCACAAAATAAGTTCTGAGATTCCCATTCTTCTCAATGTTAACCATAATTTGTTATGACCCACATAGTCAAATACTTCTGCATAGTCAAGAAAACATAAATAGACATTCTTCTTGCATTCTCTGTCTATAGCCAGGATCCATCTGACATTAGCAATGACATCCCTGGCAACATGGACTCTTCTAAACCCAGCTTGATGGTCTGGCAGTTCTCTATCAATGGTTCTAGCTATTTTTTTATGATCTTAAGCAATATTTTGCTTGCATGTGTTATTAATATAATAATGCGTTATTTGATAATTTGCACTTTCAGTTGGACCACTTTTTATTTGGCAGGGGTGGAAAGGAAATGGGAACAAATACGGATCTTTCCCAGTCCATCAACCAAATATTTGCTCCTTCAAATTTCATTGCACAGGCTGGTGAGCACTTCCAGGGCTGCTTCTATTAGTTGAAACATATTTACTGGTATTCATTGATCCTGGGGCCTTATTTTTAACCAGTGCCATCAGTGCAGCTTGAACTTCTTCCTTACTTACATTGGCCCTTGTTCAGAAAGAACTTCCTAAAATTTTTCGGTGTCAATCAATTCTTTTTGGTACAGTGACTCTGTATTCATTCCATATTCTTTTGATGCTTCCTGGATCATTCAAGATGTTGACCGGAATGTCTCTCAGCATTGCAACTCATTGCTTGAATTTTTATTTTTCAGTTCTCTCAACTTCAATAATGCTGAGTAAATTCTTCCCTTTTTTATCTTCCAACTCTATTACTTTGCACATTATGTTTTAATACTTTGCTTTGTCGAGTTGCCCTTTGAAATGTTCTGTTCATCTCTTTGACTTTGGCATTTCTTCTCTTTATTTTGGCTCCTCAATGATCTAGTCCAATTTTCATAGTCTCTTTTGACACTCTTTTTGGTCTTTACTTCTTCTTCTGCCTTTATAATGACCTTTACTCTTTTCATGGATAATATCTTTGATGTCCTCCCATAACAATCATTAGATGTCTAGAAAATGTAAAAAGAATGACCTAGCATACTACCAGAGACCAGCCCTAGAAGGTTGGATTACTGATGTATTGGATTACTATTTCATTTTCTTCCTTACAGCACTGTGTAATTTTCTGTGAGGCGCATGTGCTACTTTCATAAGCAAAACTGCAATAAATGCTATTTTAAACCAGAAGCACAAAGCATAATACTGGCTCTCCAGGGGCTTGCAATCTCTGAAGGGAGCTAAACTCTAAATGAATGGCTAGAATAAAAAGCAGGCAGTGATCTGTGCTCTCTGAGGCCTCCTCTGCAGAATGGACTTGACCCTTCACCTACATAAGCCTTCACTTCCAGTCGTCCTTCCTGGCCATCTGGATCTTAACCAGTGCTGCCTGCTGGGTATCATTTCATAACTCCATTTCTCCTTCACTACCTTGAAGGCTTCTGAGGCTTCTCTGGGTCCCCTCAGCTTGTTATCATTCCTATTTGTGTGTTCTGTGGATTGCTCCAGTAACTAATGGACTATTCCCTTCCATGTCTTGCTCCTTCCTCCCCATAGCTCTGATGTGAATTGTCTCATTGAAGAAGCAGCCAAATGGAGAAGATCAAGTTTCAGCACATCGTCTCCATCTATGGGTTGTGCATGCAGCCCCTGGGCATTGTGATGAAGTTCATGGCCAACGGCTCCCTGGAGAAGATGGTGCCAACCTACAGCCTCTCCTGGCAGCTCAAGATCTGCATCATCATGAGACCAGCTAGGCTGTGAACTTCCTTCACAGCATTCAGCCACCTCTGCTGCACCTGGACCTCAAGCCAGGCAACATTCTTCTGGACAGCAACATGCATATCAAGGTGAGAAGCATCTCAGTCACTCCCATTGTCCCTTTTCACTCTTGTAGGTGAACAGGTTACCTATTTAAGTGATCTATTGGCCTATCAAGAGAGTTTCATTCCAGAGCAAATGCTGAAGGCAGAGATCACACTTAAAACAGAGATAGACGGACAGGAACCTGGCTCAGAAAGCTGTGCATAAAGACCTGGGATAACCTTTGGGTGTCAATTCTGAGTTTCTAAAGTGGGGTAGAAAAATCCCTATCCTCCATTCTTTGCCTATAGTGAAGAACCAATGGATGGGGTAGGGTCAATATGCAAAATGATGTCAGTAATCCAGGTGCAGAGAGGTGCGATGGGCAACGGCTCATCAAAGGGGTTCTTCTGCCAGCCTTACCCATGGCCCCTCAGGAGAATGGCAACACTTTCGGGTTACTTATATGTGCCATGCACTGTTCTCGATGCTCTGTTCTGCCTCACACAATGTTTATAGTAACACAGTGGATTCAGTAATCATATCATTCTCATTTTACTGATAAAGAAACAGAGGCTTCAAGAACATAAATGTTGGGGAGCTCTGGTGGCCTAGTGGTAAGGAGATGCAACTACAATCCCAGAGGCGCACGGTTCGAATCCACCAGATGCTCTGCCGGGGAAGGAGGGACAATCTCCTCCTGTACCAGTCAGATCTGATTTGACGGTACACTCACACAAAAATAATAAAATTTTTTTAAAAAAAGAAAATTTAAAAAAGAACATACATGTCTGGGAACAAGCAAGCTGTAAGTGGTGGCGCCAGTGGGTGGAAAGCCCGTAACTGAGACACCACACTGGAAGCGGAGGCTCTAGAGGTGTGGTCCAGAAAGAACCGTGCTGCAAACCCAAAGATGGTGCTTCTCTAATGGGTTGGATCCACCAGTGGCTCAGAGGGAATAAGATGAACAATCTCCTGTGGTGTGGTTTACAGCCTCTAAAAAACACTGGAGAGTCAGCTGTGGATTCTGACCCAACGACAATAAATTTGAGTTTTGAGTAAATATGGAAGAAAGTAGCCAGCAGGAGGAATGAGAGACCAAGGCAGCTTTGTAAAACTCTATTGCCACACGATTCTCTCCCTCTGACTTCTTCCCAGATGTCAGACTTTGGTCTGTCCAAATGGATGGAACAGTCAACCCAGATGCAGTACATCGAGAGGTTGGCACTGAGGGGTACCCTCAGCTACATTCCTCCAGAGATGTTCCTGGAGGGTAACAAGGCCTGGGGCCCAAATACGATGTGTACAGGTGAGAAGGGGGCCAGGAGGCATCTTGTACTTAGATCCTACAGCCCAAAGGGCTGGGCTGGACAAGGATGAGGTCTGGGAGGTCTGATGTCAGTCCATCCTGCCCAGGGGAGATGAGAAGATCTGGACAGGGCATGATGGGTGGACAGACTCTGCTGGGGCTGGCTGATATGTGGGTCCACTGACTGGGGTTTGGTGGACATCCAGAAAGGACACTCAGAGAACTCTATCCTCTCCCACAGCTTTGGGATTGTCATCTGGGACATCCTCGTCCAGAAGAAGCCATATTCAGGTATCTCTGTGTGTGAAGGCCGGAACGGGCACTCTCTTGATGGCATCCAGGGAGGGAACTATGGGAATGCAAAGGGTTAATGAGGTCAGAAGAAGAGGCTAGTTTGCACTGGGGGCTCCTGCCCTCTTCCTCCTTGCCCTCATTCTCTGGAGTTACAAGGACAATACTTACAGCGGAAGTCAGCTCAGAGGCTTTCAGGCTGGGCCTCTCTTACCTCATCCCTACCTTCTCCCACCCTGCCAACTACATGTGATAAGTTGGACTCTCAGGAAGTATGCACAGTCTGGCACAGGTGAAAGTCTTTAACTTGGCCTGCAGTGTCAGGGTCAGATACAAACTTGGCCTGGAGGATAGCTGCTTCTGAATGCTACACAACTCTACTCACAACTTAACTGTTTACTCACAAACACCTATGTAGCTCCTACTATGTGCACTGGCCTCCTTGTGTGGCTCCTGACCCTCCTTCACTCAAACCCCCTCACCCTGCCTCAGACCATGCACACAGCCCTGGCCTCTTCCTCCTACAGGCTTCAACATGATGACCATCATCATCCAAGTGGCCATGGGCATGCGGCCCTCTATGCATCCCATCTTGAACGAGTGGCCGGGTGAGGTCCAGCAGATGGTGGATCTGATGAAGCGCTGCTGGGACCAGGACCCCAAGAAGAGGCCATCCTTTTCAGGTTCTCATCTGGCCTCCCACACAGAGGGCACAGGAGTGGTGGCAGGGAGGGGAGAGGAGGGGAGGACAGATATTGGGGGGTGGGAGCCTCTCTGAGACCTGGACTGAGACCAGCAGCACTGGGCCAAAGCTGTCCTCTCAGGGGAGTCAGCCCTGCAGTGTGGGGAGGATGGCACTGGGAACTGGGGCAGCTAAAAACTGGCTCTGAGCCCATAAATGTGTGTGCCTGGGAGCGGCAGAGGGGAAACCCTTAATTGCTGGGAGTCAGAAGACATGGATGAGTCAGGCCTCAGTCAGCCACGTATCCTCAGGCTTGCTGGATTAGCGCAGCCAGCCGGGAGAGGCGGCTGGTTTATACTGGAGGCTCTACACGCCTCTCCCTACCTTCATATTCTAGTAGTTGTTAGGCTCTCTCGAGTGGACCGTGCATCATAGTGAATTTATGACCAACAGATTAGAACTTTGTCCATCCTGCACCATCCTCAAGATCTCCACCACAATACTCAAACCCACTGATGTAGTCACTGTGTCATTTCACCTTGTTGAGTGTCTTCCTCTCTTTCTCTGACCCTCTGCACTTTTCAGCATGCTTTCAGGTTAAATCTCTCTTGATTTGCAAAGTCCCTTGTCCCTACCTTCTCCAAGTGGTTTACCATCTGGACACCAATAAAAGTGTTGTCAGGATATGTGGTCACCCTGGCAAAATCACATCAAAAGAGATTTAGGATTGCAGATTGGGGCTCAGGACTGGTTTTGGATTGTGGGTCACTGTGCCCAGATCAAGGGGTTCCAGGCCCTTTGTGAAGCTGCCAGTCTCTCAGAGACTATGGAAACACAGTCTCTGTGAGTAAGTGTAAGCACCTGAGAAAGTCCTAGTCCTGATCCTTCATTTCATGGAAAAGGGTGTTGATTCCTCAGAGAAGGTCAAGGTTGGGACCCGGTCTCCCATTTCATGCACACGTGTAGATATAAATGTGCCCAGGGTTGCATTTGGTGGAGAATGGAGGATGTTGGGGTATCAAAAACATGGCAGGGACTGCCAACCAACCCGCTGTTTCCTTTCTTCCCTCGCTCATGGAGCAGACATCACAGTAGAGACAGACATGCTGCTGTCCCTGCTCCCGAGCCCTGTCACAGACCCGAAGAGCAAGGCCTTGGCCAGAAAGGTCTCCTGCAAGCCATCGCTGGACCGGCCCCTAGAGGTGACTGCTGAGGGCTGCCCCTGGGCTTCCAGTGGGCTCTGCTGTGGGTTCTGGGCATGTAGACCAGAAATGTGTGCTTCCAGAGGCTGCCTGACTGAGTGTACAGGTTGGACTGCAGCCAGACCAGGTCACCACAGTCTGGGACTATGTCCATCTAAAGGGAAGAAAAGGTGCTCTCTGGGCAAGTGGGGGCCCCAGCTCAGAGCCTTCTAGAAGGACCTATCTTCTCTCAGTGAGTGGAAGTGACAAAGCGCTCAGCTTTCCCAACCATTGAAGCGCATTGAGCACCGTTGTAATCACACTGCTCTCCTGTCTGGACTCAGCACGTGGACAGTCATGTGGCATTCCCAGCTGAACCTACAGGCTCCCTCTGCCTTCTATTCACCCCAAGAGGAAGCCATGGCCCTTAGCCACCTCATTCTGCCTGGTCTTCCCTGCTCTGTGCCTTCCTCTAAATCCAACTGGTAGAGGGACGGCATAGAAGGAGGGTCCCTGGGATTGGATCAAAGGGAACACTGCTGTCAGGGATGGGAAGAGAGGACAGCACAGATGAGCTGCCCCGCTGCTGACCCATACCCTTGTCTTCTGGTCCTTCTGCAGGTCAGTGAGGAATCCAGCCAGGAGCTAATGGACAGTGGTGAGTCCAGGGTCTCAGTGGAGGAGCAAGAGGAATCTCACTCAATTCCCTCTCCCCCTGTCAAAAATCAAGAATCAAAACTCAATCATTGGTCTTGAGTTGAAACCAACTCATAGCTGATCCTCCAATGGTTTCAGAGGCAGTAAATTGCCTGGGAGTAGAGTGTCCGTCTTACTTCTACAGAGCAGCCAGTAGATTCCAAAGACCTACCTTTGGTTGGTAGTGCTGCGTCTTAATACTAGGCCACCAGAGCTCCCTTTTCCTGGCACCCCACCCATGTTCCAGCATAGCATATGCCCCTGGGGGGTCCTGGCTCGGCTTTCCATTCTGTCCCTGTTCTAGAGATGCAGATCGAATCCCTCCTTCCCTGGCCCAGAACCTAGAACAGTGGTTCTCAAACCCAGCTGTGTATTGCAATAATTACGGGACCCTATTCCAGAATAGCTAGATCAGAATATCAGGTGATGAAGCTGGGTGAACACTATTTTTTTTTATTTGCTCTGATTTTAAATTCTATTATGCCGTCATGTGGAGTCCCTAGGTTGTATAAACTATTACTGTGCTCTGGTGCAACCTAAATGTTTGAAGGTTCAAGTCTACCTAGAGGCACTTCAGAAGAAAGGCTTGGAAACCTAGTTCACATTTGACTTTCAGCCATTGAAAACTCTGTGGAACATAGTTCCACTCTGATGCACATGGGTCACCAGGCACTGGGCTGCGTGGATAGCAATGAGGTGGTTTTAAGACTGCTGGGTAGAACAGAAGGAAGGGGTATCTTCCTGGTGTTGGGAAAAGTCCAGGGTCTAGAACTCCATCCACAAATTTATTTTCAATGTATGTCCACTTTTTTGTGTGTGCTAGGCAGTCCTGGGGGAGCTTTTACCTTTTTAACTTTTAGCTTGGCCTCATAGCTGCAAGATGAAGCTTTACCAATTAAGATATAGAGACTCAGAGAAGCAGAGAGTCGGCTACAGTTATGGGATGCTCCATCTCACATACTTTGGGCACATGGCCAGGAGGGATCAGTCCTCAGAAAAGGATATCATGCTTGGAAGGGTGAGAGAGAGGAAGGAGAGGAAGACTCCAGGATGAGATGGATAGACTCGGTGACTAAGGTAACCAGATTAGGTTTGTCAGAGACGATGAGACTGGTTCAGGACAGGGCAGGTTTCAGAGCTAGAGTGCATAGGACCGCTATGATTTGCAAATGACTCGATGGCACATAGCAACAACAAGTGGCGGAATCAGGATATGAACTCATGCTTCCTGACCTTGCTTTTTATTCTTCTTCAGTTCTCATAAGATCTGAATGGAGTGGTAACTGAACTGTACCTGTAGCAGTTAGCACTGCATTACTGCTGTTGCTATTGGGGGCCACCAGGTTCATTCTAACCCCTCCATGTGTTAAAAAGTCAAACTACGCCGTAGTGTTTCTTTGGTGGTTATCTTTATGAGTAAAGATTGCCAGGCCATTTCTTGCATGGTGCTGCTGGTTTCTAACTGCCAACTTTTTGTCTATTAGCCCAAATCAAACCGTGCCACCCAGGTGTTCAGCAAAGCTAATTCCAGAATTCCAGGATGCAGGCATGGAGTGGCTTAAGTGACTTCTGGGCATGTGAACTGCTTCAGCCTCCTCTTCTCCCAGCAGACTCTGGAGACTACTTGAAGCAGGTCTTGCGGCTCTTGGACAGTGAGAGCGTGGTCCCCAGTGATGAGAACAAGGGCAGCCGCCTCCACTTCCTGGTGGTGCAGGGCAGTGTGGAGCAGGTAAGGCTGCTACTGGCCCACGAGATGGATGTGGACTGCCAGACGGCCAGCGGCTACATGCTTCTTCTCATCGCTGCACAAGACCAGCAGCTGGACCTGGCTGACGAGGACGGCTGGGCCCTGCTACACTTAGCTGCCCAGAATGGGGATGACCGGACAGCTCGCCTGCTCCTGGACCACGGGGCCCATGCTGATGCCCAGGAACATGAGGGCTGGACGTCCCTACACCTGGCTGCACAGAACAACTTAGAGAATGTGTCGCGGCTCCTGGTCTCCTGTCAAGCTGACCTCAACCTGTGTGAGGCCGAGGGCAATATCCTCCACATGTGGCCGCCTATTTTGGCCATGTCAGCCTGGTCAAGGTGCTCACAGGCCTGGGTGCTGAGTTGAATGCTCAGCAGAAAAACCTGAGGACACCATTGCACCTGGCTGTAGAGAGGGGTAGGGTGCGGGCCATCCAGCACCTGCTGAAGAGTGGGACTGTCCCCGATGCCCTCGACCAGGGCGGCTATGGCTCCCTGCACACCGCGGCCGCAAGGGGCAGGTTTCTTATCTGCAAGGTGCTGCTCAGGTACGGAGCCAGCACCGAGCTGCCCACACAGCGGGGCTGGACACCCCTGCACCTGGCGGCCTACAAGGGCCACCTGGAGATCATCCACCTGCTGGCAGAGAGCAATGCAGACCTGGGGGCTCGAGAGGCCATGAGCTGGACCCCCTGCACCTGGCAGCCCGCCATGCAGAGGAGGTGGTGGTCCCGGCCTTGCTGCAGTGTGGGGCTGACCCCAACGTGGCTGAGCAGTCTGGCTGGACGCCGCTCCACCTGGCAGTCCAAAGAGAAGCCTTCCTGAGTGTCACCAACCTCCTGGAGCACCACGTCAATGTTCATGCCTATTAACAGGGTGGGCGGGACAGCTGCCCACCTGGCTGCCCTCAAGGGCAACACGGCCATCCTCAAAGTATTGGTCAAGGCCGGCGCCCGGCTGGATGTCCAGGACGGGGTGGACTGCACCCCCTTGCAGCTGACCCTCAGGAGCCAAAAACAGGGCATGATTGCCTTTCTAGAGGACAAGGAGCCTGCTGTACCCATTCTGGGTGGTGCTGAGCCCAGGGCCCAGATGGAGGTGTAGGAAGGGGGCCCTGAAGGAAGTGGGGTGGTTCAAGGTCAAGGTGAGCTTCCTGAGGGCCCCTTCCGCAACTGAACTCCTCTCTCTCCTTTCAGCCTCAGATGAAGCAGGAGCTTGGCAATGGTGGATAAGGAGGGAGAGGCACCCCTGAGGGTGCGGCTGGGGAAAGGGCCTTCCCCAAGTACATCTCCTGCAGGCCTCATTCTCCTGGACTCCAGGAATCCCACCCATCCCCACCATGACTCCTGCTCCCTCCTGTAGCATCAGAGGCAAGCTATCAAAGGGAGGCCTAAAGGGTAGTGGGTTCCCTCCAGCTTGTGCTGTGTGACCTCAGGCTGGGCCAGGAGAAAAGGACTCAACTTATTTTGTTCAAGCAGCAGCTGATGAAAGTTGAGAGGGCATTTCTGCTCACAATAAATAGGCTAGCTAGGCCCTCTGGCCAAGCTAACCACGCCTTTCAGCTGGCCCTGGTCCCCATGCCTGGGTCTCCCACATAGTCTCTTGGGGTGAAGGAAGGGTGTGTTCCACTGTGGCTCAGTGATCCAATGTGGAATGCTAGTTCCTGGGATCCCTGCTCCACCCTGCTTTGTATACAAGCTTCGACCCTGTAGTTTGAATAAAGTGGTGATATTGTTCTGCCTCCAGAAAAAGACTGATCTCATGGGGCCAGTAAATATACAGACATTGGTGTGTATTAGCCTACTGGTGAGAACTTACGCTGGCAACTGAAAGATACATTGTGAAGTCTACTAGCTGCTCTGCAGAAGGAAGATGGGCATTCTCCTCCCATGCATTTACTGCCTCTGAAAACCTGCTGAAGGGTCAACTATGAGTCAGTTCCAACTTGATGGCCATGAATAGCAATAACAGTATATGTGTGTGTGTGTGTGTGTGTGTGTGTGTATTTGCATGGAGGAGGAGGCTGCTGTTGTTGTTAGTGCCGTCGAGTCGTTTGCGACTCATAGCGACCCTATGTACAACAGTCCTAAACCGTGCTCTATCCTGTGTCAATCTCATTGCCTCTGACAAACCCATCCCGAGTACCCTAGTCACTGAATCAATCCACCTGATAGAGGGTCTTCCCCTCCTGCACTGTCCCTCCACTCTACCCAGCATGATGTCCCTCTCTAAAGACCTGTGTCTCCTTACAACATGTCCAAAGTATGTCAGACGAAGCCCCAGAATCCTTGCCTCCAAGGAGCAGCCTGGTTTAATCCTCTCTAGGATGAATCTGTTTGTTTTCTTGGCAGTCCATGGTACATTCAATACTCTTCTCCAGCACCACAGCTCAAAGGCGTCAAGGAAGCAAATAGCAGGAGTTGTGTATAGTCTGCATTTGTGTATGTGGTGTACACATGGTTCTTGTTGGGGTGCTAGGACACTGGCTGCATAGCGGTTAAAATGTTTAGCTGCTGACTTCTAGATCAGTGCTTCAAACCTTGCTGCCTTGTGGGAGAAAAATGAGCCAGGCTGTTCCCCCTAAGGGTATAGAGTCTCAGAAACCCGTGAGGCAGGCTTTCTCTGTCTCATAGAGTTCCTTTGTGTTGGGATAAGCTCCATGGTGGAAGTTTGGTCGATGTGGAGTGGGGTAAAGTGGTGTGAGGCGTAATGTGTGTGTGTGTGTGTGTGTGTGTGTGTTAAGAGGAGGAGGTGGAGGAGCAGATGGAGGGAGGTGACAGGGGTTGAGGGGTAGGTAATCTGGGTTCAATGTGGAGATGGCAGGGGGACCTCCCTCCCCAGTTGTGGCTCAGAGGCCTCTCCTATTGACCACACCCTTCCATCCACAGGCTGGCCTGGCCTGTCCGCCCTGCTGGTTGTGAGGCAGGTTGGGGCAGGACAGAAGGCCCTCCCTCTATCCTGTGTGACCTGAGCCCTGGCTCAGCTGTGATAGGCTTCCCATCAGCCAGGCCCTGACTTTCACCCTCTCTCCAGGGTTGACAGGAAACCAGCCAATAGGCGGGGCTGAGCAGGGGACAGGGGGCAGGACAGGACCCCCTCCAAGCGCAGGACTTTACAGAGTCAGAGAAAGGGAACCTGTTCTGGCCCATTCTCACCCCAGCCAGTCGGCAGGGTTTTTTTTGTTTTGTTTTGTTTTCTAGTCACTTTGCTTTTCTGGGCTGAGCATTCAGGGCTAGACACTGATGACCAGTCAGCAGCCTCTACTTCTGAGAGAGGTGAGAGGGGTGATCCGGAGGAAGCTTGTCACCCCACATACAGTCCTGCTGAGTTCATGAGTCCTTTAGCAGAGATGGCAGCATTGCCACCCTGTGGCCCTGAGACCGAGGCTAAGGCCTCTTGGGTTGTGGAGACGTGACTAGCCTCATGGAGGAGTGAGCCCAGGGAGGCCTCAGCTGGGCGGAGCCCCAAGTGGCAATTACTCCTGCTTGAGAAAAGCGGTGGAGAGTCTTCAAAGTACCAGCATCTGGCCTTGAGCCAGTTGCCTTGGAGTGGACTCCAGCACGTATAAGTTTTGAGGGCTGAGTTTCTTCAAAAGTAGATTGCCAGACCTTTCTTCTGATGCCTTGAGGAATTGAACCCTTAGACTTTTAGTTAGAGGTGAAGATTTAATCGTTTGCACCACCTGGACTCTCCTTGAGCTATTAGACCAGAATCCGTAGGGCAGGATCCCCGCACCAACTTGACAACAAAGGTCCTCGTGACTCTGAAGAGTGGCGGGGTTGAAAACCCCACCAGGGGGCGTCCTATGCTCTCCCTCGGAAACCTTCCTTCACACAGCTATGAAGACAGGTGGGGAGAGGCCTTTTGCTCTCCTGGGGGGGAATGCTCAGGAACTTTTGAAGCCTGGGGCCCAGGCCATTGTCAGACTGTCCCATCCTCACAGGTCCTGCCAGCCGCCAGGCCCTTTCCCCATTCTACCTGCAATGAAGACTTACGCAAGAATTGCTGTTTAAAATGCTCCCTGGAGATGTCTTCCCCAGAGCACCATTGAGCAGGGAGGTGAAATGGGGAGGGGACAGATCTGTTGGCTTCTCCTTGCACGCTGAATCGGATCTGGCACCAACATCACACATAAGGCAGGAAAGGGGTGGGGGCCTGAAGATTTAGAGCCAGGCAAACTCAGATCCAGACACAGGAAAGGCAGTCCTAAACCACAGGGGGCCAGGAGTGTCTTCATCCTCTTTGAAAGAAGTAGAGCAAAGCAAGGACTAAAGTCCTGGCTGGGAGAAAGAAGTAAGAACAAGCACGCGATCCTTTTGATCCTATTGTCCAGGCCAGGCCAGGACCAGGGACCCCATGAGGATAAATCCTAAGAAGTCATTTCAACACTTATGGTCACTAGATGTAGGCTAAGGAGCCTCAGACCTCTGCTTCCTCCTAGGAGACCTGTGGTAACTAGTTCAAGCCAGTTCTGGCCAGCACATCCCTATCTAAGCCACTCCTAAAGAGAGGCAGACAGACAGCACCTCCCTTGGTCCCATGTCAAAGGAGGTGTCCCGTGGAGGTTTCCTAGGGATGTTTAGAATTGTCACTAAGTGATCTGGCTGGGCTGAGGCAGAGGCTGGAACTGTGGAAAGTTGGACAGACTATGAGCTTTAAGGACAGACAGACCAGGGTCCAAGCCAAGCTGACGGGCATAGCCTTAGATTGCTATAGCTCTGTTAGCCGTATTTGCATCATCTGTAGCAGAGAAAATGCTTCTCTCACTGGGTTATTGTCATAATTACACGAGATGCCAAAAGACCTGGCAATTAGCAAGTACTTTATATGTTAGTTTCTTGCTGTTTGTCCTCATCAAAAAGGTTTGGAAGGTGGGGGGGGAAGGACGGGTTGGAGGAGCACACAGACAAGGCAGCCTTTTGATGAGGATACACTCAGAAGTCACTGTTTCTTTTCCTTTGCCAGTCCATTTAGAAGGGTCTCTGGTGATGGGGGAGTCCCCAGGGAGTCACACTGTGAACAGAAAGATGCCACCTTTCTAGAAGTTCTACCAGTGATTCTGTAGGAGAAAGATGGCCAATCATCTTCTGTGAGATGTACTGGATGGTCTCACTCACTGGAGGGTCAGCTATGAGTTGGGTCAGACTCAATGGCAATGAGGGAGCGAGCAAGTCCATTTAGAGGGAGAATGATACTCCTTGCTAAACCAACCCTCAATATGTGAGAAGAGATGACAGTGTGAGTGGCTCCGTAAGAGTTATGAGAACATGAGGTCATGTAGTTCAAGTCTAGGGTACTTGGTTGAATGGATCAAATCCATGTCCACTGGAACCTTAAAACTCAAAGTCAATGCCATAAAGTCAGACTCAACTCATAGCTGATCATTCAGGGGGTTTCAGAGGCTGTAAATCACATGGGAGAAGATTGCCCATCTTTCTTCCACGTTGCTCTTGGTGGATTTGAACCACACAGAGAGGCTCCACCTTTGGGTAAGCATACAACTCCCCAGAGACTACACCACTGTGTGGAGATAAGACCATCTTTGCAGATGTAATGAGTTAAGAGGAAATCATACTGGATTTAAGTGCATTATAAGAAGGTCATGTATAAAGACACACTGGGGAGAGGTGGCAGACTGGAGTTGTGTAACCACAGACCAAGAAAGCCAAGGACCGCTGGCAAGTACAGGCAGCTGTGAGAGGCAAGGAAAGGTTCTCCCCTCAAGCTTCTGAAGGAAGTATGATTCCACCAATATCTTCATTCTCATTTTTAACCTCCAGATCTATGAGGGGAATACATTTCCATGATTTTCAGACATTTCATTTGTGGTACTTTGTTAAAGCAGCCACAGGATAGTAATATCTCTCCCTAGACCCTTCCTAAACATTAGCAGACACAGCCCAGCATAGTCCACATAGGTCTGCTGGGCACAGGACAGGGCTCTAACAGGTAAAAGAGGAAGACATGCAGCGGCTGGGCCACAAGATGTCTTGGGGAGGTTTCACACATGAGTGGGGGCACTGGAAATGCCCCCAAGACAGGTTAGTCATTGGTGTTTCAAGTTGTTGGTCAACTATGTCTATTCTGAGGTCACCAGAGGAGCA